CGCACTCACTTGGTAGATGCGCCTGCGCATAATGACGCTCGACCATCTATGCCCATATTTGGACTTCGTGCGTCTCCCTTTCTCGGGCCTCGTGCCTCTCATTGCGAAGATACGCGACTAGCAATATAGAAGTATTACATATATGGTATATATGGTCTAAGGTTTTGTGACCACTTGCCTTCAATTTGTTTTTCCCTATACGGGAAAGACTTCTCAGCAACAGTGCTCCAAGCCTAATATCAGAGAGAAGCCTGAGAGCGGCCATGCCATTGTAGTTTCTTACGACGGTTTCAGCCGCTGGTTTTAGCCGTATTTCCACAAAAGTGGAACTCAAAGGCCGTTCTACATTAAACGCAAGTAACAGCAGAGAGAAGCCTGAGAGCGGCCATGCTATTGTAGTTTCTTACGACGGTTTCAGCCGCTGGTTTTAGCCGTATTTCCACAAAAGTGGAACTCAAAGGCCGTTCTACATTAAACGCAAGACTCAGATCTCGTGGAATTGACCAATTGCAGAGTCAAATCAGCCAATCGACCAACGTGATTGATCAGTTCCACGAGACCTCCGACTTGAGTTTCGTGGAGAACGGCCTTTGAGTTCCACTTTTGTGGAAATACGGCTAAAACCAGCGGCTGAAACCGTCGTAAGAAACTACAATGGCATGGCCGCTCTCAGGCTTCTCTCTGGTAACAGCTTCTCTCTGCTAATATCAGTCATAAGTTCCTAGAATAGCGTATGGACTAACTTAACTCGGTCCATTGAGCCAATGAGTGCGTTCAGACAACTCAACAGTTGCACAACGGTTGAGAGATAATCACTTCTGATTGGATCATACTTTTGGAACCGTTGCAGATTTTGAAGAATAGTCCTATCATAAGTGATGATCTCTCAACCGTTGAGTTGTCTGAACGCACCCAATTTTGCACCAAACTAAACCTATTAAGCCCCTTGCACAATGGAAGGAATAGCGATAGCGATAGAAATAACACAGTTTTAGACACAGAATTCCAACTCGTCCGAAATTTTATAGCTATTGCTTATTCTGATTTTCTAATCTGTATTGATACATGTGTATTTTTGTACGTTAGATTCCGCTGTTCTTACCGGTATTTATATATATAAACTCTTTAAAACTGGTGTTATTTCTATCGCTATCGCTATTCCTTTCATTGTGCAAGGGGCTTTATAATTCACTGGGTCGCATTCGTGCTATGCAAAAACAAGACAGCTATGAAATAATTTTTTTTGGGCAATTTGTTAATTTCTTTTGACTGAAATGATTGAAGAGCACGACGAACGTGAAACAATATGCGATTCAGTAGTAAGTAATGCATCGCATGCTACAATTGCGTAATTGTCAATAAATCACTGAGAAAAATATGTGAAATACAGGTATATCAACAACGAAAATTCTAACCTTACTTTCAGAATTCATTGATTGAAGGCTGTCGTTTGCCAGTTCGTATGAGTGGCACGGATGATTGGCGTAAGTAGCAAACAGCACGTTTTTTATTAATTTAAATAAAACCAGAGAAATTTTCATGATCAAAAGTAGTTTTCTGAAAGAATTTTGTAATATTGTACATATATGTAATCTTATACTGGAGTAAAAAAGTTTATTTGTATGTATACATTACTTTATTTATTAGTTTGAAGAAATTTTCTTTTTTTCTAAATACTTCTTGTTGCATTTTTGTGATAACAGTTTTTGTTTATATAGAAGTATAGTCTTTTTGGGAAGCATTTTTAGTATTATTATATTTAGAGACATAATCTTGCTCAGAATGAATAAAATTATATGTTTATATTTATTCTTTTTTCAATATAACATGTTATAAATATAATAAATAGTTTATACATTAGAACTTAAGTGCAATAATTTAATCTCAAAACATTTGTTTTATAGCACTTGCTGAAATTATCAGTGTCAAAGAAGTAGAAGGCATCAAATGGTATTATGTTCATTATGTAGATTGTAAGTAACATTGAAGTTAATATTTTATTTCTCATATGTGTGAGTTTTGTTGGAATTCTTAAAATAAGTGTTTAAAAATTTGAGATTTTTTTTTTATTTTTTGACAATTTGACATATCCAATGAAACTTACTACATATCACAGTAAAAATGATTTATTTACAAAATATTGTTGCTGTGTCAGTTAATAAAAGATTAGATGAATGGGTCTCTGAAGATTTCTTGGATACTAGAAAGGTTCAATATCCTCGTCGTGATGGAATTACACCAGGAACTGGTGCAGCAACACCAAAAAAACAAGCAGCTAGTAGACCTCCTAGTCCTAGTAGTGCTAGCAATGAACCAGTTAATGGTTCGGCAGTTTTACAAGCTGCTTTACAAAAGAAAATGTCTAGGAAAAGAAAAGCTACATTTCCAGAAAACGAAGATTCTCAGGATGGTCCACCTCAAACGCCAGGTCCTAGACCTACTGGTTCTTTAGTGGCACATCATCATGATGATGTAGTGACGAGAATGAAAAACGTAGAGTTAATTGAACTAGGCCGTCATAGGATAAAACCTTGGTACTTCAGTCCGTATCCGCAAGAAATGGTGAATTTATCTTGCATATATATTTGTGAGTTCTGTCTAAAATACAGAAAAAGTCGTAAATGTTTGGAAAGGCATTTAGTAAAGTGTAATTTACGCCATCCACCTGGAAATGAGATATACAGAAAAGGATCTATATCGTTTTTCGAAATTGATGGACGCAAGAACAAGAACTATGCACAAAATCTTTGTCTTCTGGCAAAGTTGTTTCTAGATCACAAAACTCTCTATTATGATACGGATCCATTTTTATTTTATGTAATGACAGATTTCGATAGCAGAGGTTTTCACATAGTTGGTTACTTTTCGAAAGAAAAAGAATCTTCAGAGGATCACAATGTAGCCTGTATTCTGACACTGCCACCATATCAAAGAAGAGGTTATGGCAAACTCTTAATAGAATTTTCGTATGAATTATCAAAATTCGAAGGAAAGACTGGCTCTCCCGAAAAACCTTTGTCTGATTTGGGTTTACTCTCGTACCGAAGTTATTGGGCGCACACAATACTCGATATTCTACTGAACATAAAGCCTGTGGTAGAGAATGAAAAACCACAGATAACAATAAGCGAAATTTCCGAATTGACGTCGATTAAGAAAGAAGACGTGATATCAACTTTACAAAATTTGAATCTCATCAATTATTACAAAGGACAATATATTGTAACGTTAAATAGGTATTATCAGAATAGAAAAAAATCGAAATTTTATCTGATTTCACTCTGAAGCATATTTTTGTTTACAGAGAAATTATTGAACAGCACATGGCCGCAATGGAAAAGAGGCAAATTAGAATAGATCCTAAGTGTCTGCATTGGACTCCTAAAGACTGGAGTGTTAGAGCAAAATGGTGAAGTGAGCTTGACAACGACAATAATATTTCATTGTTCTTAAAATTATTTTCAAGAAACTCAAAAAGTGATTCAACTAGTGTACCAAAAATTGTAAATACATTTTATGTTTGTAAATCTAAATAATTAATTCATTGTTTAGATGAAACTGTAATTCTCTTGCGTTATGTACTTGTGTCGCAATCATCTACGAGTTCGTCGACTTATGCAGGTTGTTATAACACAAATCAAGGCACAAGTAACTCAAAAACTTTATCTAAAAACATCTGCAGTAACAGCATATTTTAGGATCGGACGTTTAATGTTTTAATACGATAGCTAGCTGTTTTTAAAAAATACATGAACTCTAATGCGATAGTTCGATTTATACAAGTAACTTACTGATCTTGTATTGAATTGTAAATAAATGTGATTTTATATAATTTTTTTTCTATAACTCAAGTATATCTAAGTGTGATAGGAAAACGTTTGTATAAGTCCTCAACATTTGGATATTTGTAGTCTGATCTTAATATACAAAGACAAATGAAGAAGTATCTTTACCTATGTATAAATATATGTGTATACAATTTTTTACATTCTATTATTTATTAATAAATATTAAAATTACATTTACATTATACATTTTGATTACAATGTAATTTAGATGTAAAAAATTTAAGAGTTGCTATACAATGTAACGACAGATATATTGCATAATAACGTTTTCATAAATTTTCACACAAAATATACATGAGCCATATAAGCGATCTTATTTGAAAAGTATGAAGTTTAACTCATATAATTAATCTTTATGTCTATAATGTGGATAAAAAATGCCCTTAATTCGCTAAAAAAAGTATTAATGTATGTATAATATGAACACGACTCTAACTAAACATATATGTATATCGTATTGCATATATGTCAAGTTTAGTAAATGCTGTCGGGGATTTTATCTTTCCTTCACTTGGTTAATCACAAAAGATACAAAAGTAAAACTTTTATATTTTTCTTTTACTCTTTTGCTATATTATATCAATATAAAAATAAATTAATTTATTAGTTGTTAAGGTAGATATTCTTTTCTTAAGTTTTGATAACATCTAAATTATATATTACATGTTATATATACAATTACATATACATATACAGGGTTATTCAGAACACTTCGTTATCCTTGAAAATACATATTCTTGACTAAATTCTAAGACAACTTTTTATTTGGCAAAATTTGGTCTAAAGCTTACTTTTTGAGTTACTAAAAATAGTTGACGTACAGACGGCGTCAAAAATTCGCGGAAAAGGCGCGGGGATCGGAGGACAAGCGGGGCGGATGCTCGTAGCGCCAGCGAGCACCGTACGAACTAAATAGTAGCAATTGGTTGTTCGCAACTACGTCGTGTCGATAATATAACTACTCTTCTTTTCAATTTTCTTCTCAAAACGTAAAACTATTGGCCATTTACTAAATATCTAACGTTAACAATTAACATGTATATGTATATATGTGTGTAATAAATAAAATTATAATGTCTCCGGTAATGAAAAAAACGTATATTGTAAAAGTCTCGTTTGAAAAATTATATACTATTATCATAGAGAAGCCTGAGAGCGGCCACGGCCATAAGAGTTTCTGTCATAGCTTTTCGTAGACATGGTTCTATTCCGTGCTATGAAAACACCGACGTGGTGGGGATACGCACACAAGCGAGAACCGTCGTCATACATTAACATAATATGTCTGCACCTTTGACTATATAAACCTCATATATACTACCATGATCAAAAAATAACCGGAATTTATTCAAAAAAAGAAAAGTACATGTTTATTCTTCAAAATTCAAGTTGTCCCCTTCAAAGTAGTCCCCGTCGGCTGCGATGCACTTGTGCCAGCGTTTGATCCACCCCTCGAAGCTTTTCTGGAAGTCGGTTTTTGGTATAGCCATTAGTGCCTCCAGCGATTTTAGCTTTATTGCCTCCACACTCTCAAAACGAGTTCCTCGTAATGGTTTTTTGAGTCGATCGAAGGAAGAAGTCACATGGTGCCAGATCAGGTGAATTGGGCAGTTGTTGAATGGTATTGGTGTTGTTTTTGACGAGAAACTCACGAATAATCAACGCTTTATGAGATGGCGCATTATTGTCATGGAGAATCCACGAGTTGTTGCCCCACAAAGAAGGTCTTTTTTTGCGGATAGCCTCGCGTACGGATCCGAATGATATGTTGGTGGTCTCAGCTATCTCCCTTATCGTCAATTTGCGATTTTCGATCAACAATTGTCGGATTTCATCGAC